GCCAATCACAACGCATTGGATAGCTGGCCAATCAGAGCACACCTCGCTTTTCAGACCGATGAGCTTTGTAAAAATCTATGCGTTTCAGAAGGCGGGGCATAGAGGAGCAACAATACTGTACAGTATGTGGAAAATAATGTGTTTTTTGAACCTTAAACCGCATAAACACATTGCATTACACCAAATACACCAAATAATGTTCTTTTTAGCAACGTCATATGACCCCTTTAAAAAGGACATCGGGATATATAACTTCAAATCTTACCCTCCGATGTAGCATTCAAATCTATTATACTTTGTCAGTGTAAAATGTGTAAAAATGCAAATGAAATTTGAGAGCTTATCAGTGAAAGACAAAATCATATGATTTCAAAAGGTGTACACAATACTTTACAAAAGTTTGGGGTCAGTAAGGTTTGATGTTTTTGAAAAAAGGCCTCTAATGCTCACCAAGGCTGCATTAATTTAAAGGGATAGTTCACCCAAAAATGAAAATTCTGTCATTAATTACTCACCCTCATGTCGTTCTAAACCCGTAAGACCTCCGTTCATCTTCGGAACACAAATTAATATATTTTTGATGAATTCTGAGAGCTCTCTGACCCTCCCATAGACAGCAATGTAATTACCCCTGTGAACTATCCCTTTAAAGGTCATTGCACACTGAGTACGAAATTTTCGCACGTTAAAAAATAAATACGACCTCACGTTGTGTCAATAACATTTACACACTGCCTCCGAAACTTTTGTCTGTCATAAAAAAATCCGGATTAGGTTAGATTTTCTGCGTTTTCGCATCCGTAGCAAGCATTTTGATAGGAAAGAATGAGGAATACGAAAAAACGCATATGAACATTTAAGACTCAGTGTGCAAGGACCTTAAAGGTCGCAAAATTAACCGAAAAATATTAACTAATATCATTTTTGTCAACCAGAACTAAGCAAAGTAAAGCCTTGTTCATGTACGTGTATTTATTTGACAAGTAGCTGTTGAAATGCAATAATGTACAGTCAGCCGGTCATTACCACAAAATAAATCCTTTCAGGGGGTTTCACATCAGGGACTTGATCACCCTGTCGAGGCTTATTTTGCAATAATGACCAGATGACTCTGTATTTTCCCGTACTTATTGTACTTTAATGTTCCTTACTTACACAGAAGATCTATATTTGACAGAAATGCTAGCTGTAAAAATGAAATGTGGAGTGATTGGAATGACTTCACTTGTTTATTACTGCTACCTGTTCACTTTACACCCTCCTTGACTGTCCCAGTCACTGGCGGTGTACCTCTTCATCTGAATAAGCAGATGAGAGGGATGAATAGTGGGATTGTGTTTTGCAAGTACTCTGCTGATATGTTGTCTGAGAGCTATGGTTGTACTGGCAGGAGAATCAATCTGTTATCTTACCAACAGATGTTCTGCTCTGCTGTTTCCACCTGACTCTCAGTGTGAGACTTGCTACGTTCACCTGTGTAAGTGTGGAAGTGTGTGTGCTTGTGAGGGTTCAGTTTATACTGCAGTAGGGAAACAGCAGTTACAGGTAGGTCATACATGATAAGCATGTGATTGAACAAGATATGACATCAAATAATGCAACAAATGCAGCATAATAATGTGCTTTTCACTAAATCAGCTGAATCAATTTTGATTGAACGATTCATTAGTCTGTTATTTCAAAACTAAAAATCATCTTTGAAATCTTAAATCCAAATATAACAGCTACTCTTCTGAAACATCTTTTACATTTACATTTTACATTTTTTTTTTAGAATTTTTTAATGGTTTTGAAAGAAGTCTCTTATGATTACCAAAGCTGTGTTTATTTGATCAAAATACATTAAAAAAAGTTATATTTTGTGAAATATTATTGAAATTTAAAATAACTGTTTTCCTTTTTAATATATTTTACAAATGTATTCATTTATTTCTATGACGGCAAAGCTTAATTTTCAGCAGTTACTAATATGCTGATTTCCTGGGCAAGAAACATTTTTTATTCAACAATTCGTCTCCTCCGCATCCCCCTGGTGCCATTTTGGAGAATATCCACTGAACGTAAACAGCGTATGCTATTCTGTGTCAGCTGCGCCATGCGGATACGTTTTCTACGTTGTTTACGCTTTGATTTGAACGAAAACAACGTATCCGTGTGATGCAGCTGACACAGAATAGCATACGCCGAACTATCCCTTTAATCTAGTAAACACAACAATATTGTGAAATATTATTACACTTAACTCTTTTCTATTTGAATGTATTTTAAAATGTCATTTATTCCTGTGATCAAAGCTGAATTTTCAGCATTATTACTCCATTCTTCAGTGTCACATGATCCTTAAGAAATCATTCTGATATGCTGCTTAATCTTTTATGACATTAGTATGTAGTAATTTATTATTTATTTCCCCCCCCCAAAAAAAAACAAAAAAAAACATACTGTCTCTACTGATGGTCGTGTATCTTATGGTGCATCTATGTGTAAATGAGTGTGTGAGGGGGAAAAAATGAAAAATGAACACTCACTCCTTGGCAAAGCAAAGCAACTGTTCGGGTTTGGGTCCCAGCATTTGGCAACAGTAAGCGACACGGGTCTGCAAAAAAGAAAAAAAAAGTGGTGCAGCTGTTGATAAGCTAAACAAGTCCCATAAAACATGAATGTTTTGTAATGTGACTCACCCAGGCTTATGCACGATCTCCCTCAGCACTCGTACGGCATCATCGTTGCACATGTTCTCAAAGTTGATGTCATTCACCTGTGAGAAGAAACAGAAATCTGAACTGATACAACCAGCTTCTGTGTCAGATTCCTATCCCGAACACGTCTTCCTCCAGTCCTCACCTGCAGCAGCATGTCACCAGGCTCGATCCGCCCATCGGCCGCCACCGCTCCACCCTTCATTATGGAGCCGATGTAGATGCCTCCATCACCGCGCTCGTTACTCTGACCAACGATACTGATGCCCAGGAAGTTATACTTCCCTAAAAGAGGTAAAGCAAGTGAGACTTCAGGCAACTAGTTGACATTACTTTAGCTTTGCACATCTGTAATATCATCCTTAGATTATAAATCAGGGTCTTCAGGGAGAAAAAAAACAACATTTTATTACACATTTTATTAATTTTTTATTACACTGCACCAATATAATTAAAGGTCTTAAAGCACTCAAGGTTGTGCCTTATTGTTCATATAATCAGAGTTTAATTAAAAAGCAACTAATAAAACTGTATAATGCAGACTCACCCATATTTAAAGTGACAGTGATGATATTCAGAGACATAGTAGAGTCAGTGATGCTACTGAAAGATGAAGACTGAAGAAAGAAAGACAAAGATAGTTTGAAATACAGTACGGTTTATATATCGTATTAGACACTTCAGAGTTCTGTCCACTGTCTCACCCTCTCCATTTGCTGGGCTTTGGGTCTGCGTCTCCGCCGGCGGTGTCGTCTCATTAGCCTGGATGAGCCGCTTTGCTCCGTAACACTGGACGGGGACAGAATGTGAAACATTACTGATCACTAGGAAAAGGAATCAGAAAGCCTTTATACGGATAGTTCACCTAAAACTGAAAATTCTGTCACCTTCATCACTATCAGTTACCTTTGAAGATATTTTTAATGAAACCAGAGAGACTTCTGTCAGTCCATTGAAAGATTTAAGTCCCCCAAAACGTTGACGTTTTCATATGAATCAAAACGGTTTAAACCAAGTTTTCTGAAGCGGAATGATTAATTTATGAAAAAAATATTTAATTATGTTGTCGTTTTCTTTCAATTGAGAGATATAAATCTCTCAGATTTCATTACAAATATAGAAGATGAATAAAAGTCGTACAGGGTTGGGACGGCATTACAGTAAATAAATGATGACAGAATTTCTGGAAAACTTTAATAGCTCTGAGTCAGCATCTGATTCCATGTAATGACTTTTAGTACTTTTCAGGGAGCAGCCAATAGATATGCATGATAAATTGTATTTTAACCGTGGTCACGATTTCTGCTTCTCTCAGTTTGTTAGGCATAATCGTCTGCAATATTTGCCCACTGTTTGTTTATCCGGCATATGTTTCATTTTAATTTGGCATTTGCATTGGTAACAAGCCTCCACAAGCTTTCATAGTTGCCAGATTACACGAATTTAAGTCCCCCAATCAGGGCTTTTCTCTTAAAGGGGTCATCCGATGCCCATTTTCCACAAGTTGATATGATTTTTTAGGGTCTTAATGAAAAGTCTGTAACATAGCTTGGTTAAAATTTCTCAATGGTAGTGTAAAAAAACACCTTTTTTTACCCTGTCAAAAACAGCTCTTTTCAGAGCAAGCCGTTTTGTAGCATGTTCCTTTAAATGTTAATGAG